CTAGATTTATTTAAGCACTCTATCCACGTTTGGCACTTTTTTTTATTTTAAATTTTGACCCACAGATGCTGATGGTGCAGGTTTCTTCGGGGCCTATTCCTGACGCTGGGAGGAGATTCTGTGCCTCCTACGGGGTTCTCTGTCTCCTCCCACCCAGGAGGTGGGTCTCTCTTCGGGAGAGCCCACTTGCCTAGTACTGTGAGGGACCTGTTGCGGCAGGTCCCCGAAGGAAATGGGTCCACCCACCGGCCTTTGGGTTGGTGGACCAACAGTCTCAACCCCTGCCAGGAGCCTTTCGCCCCGGGGGGTCGGGAAAGTAGGTCCCTTCTTTCGAAGGACCTTGCACAGTTGTGCACGTTTTTGTATGCTGTGATTTCACAGTTCACTTTTTTTGTTCACAGGGGGAAGTTTGATGCACTTCCACGGGCTTCGATAAAAAACTTTGTCTCTATGCAGTAGTTTCCTGTAATAAAGACCGGTCACTGCTGTTCTCAGTCCCTGTGCAGGATGATTGGTCTTGTAGGTTTCTGCAGGCAGCCTGTATTGGGTTGATCTGCTAGGCTCCTTCCACAGCTCTGCTTTCTGCAAAGACTATGTGCACCACGGTGATGATGTCACTGCTAATGTTACAAGATAATATCTTGGGTTGCCAAGGCATTCATGTTCATAAAATAGATTTGTATCCTCTGTGACGCTTCAGAGATATATTTAAATAAATGTTTTTGTGGCTGGAGTTCAGCTTTAAGGCCAAGTTCACACCCTTTTCCGGACCAGCTCTGGAATGCGATGCATTGCTTTTTGCCGCGATTTTACCTCAATTTTGCTGCGTTACGGAGCTTTTTTTTAATTTTAGCTTAAAATGGGCTTTCAGGTGTGCGGTTTATTGCACTTGCATGTGTTTGTATGCTTTTTGATGCATTTCCATGTGTTCCAGTGTATTCCAGACCAGACAAAATTAGACATGCAGCATTTTTCTGGTCTGGTCTGGAAAGGACTGCGCTGGTGTGAACAGAGGCCAGAAATAGCATAGGGATACATTAGGATGCATTTTGGGTCCAGAAACAATCTGGTCTGGTCTGAAGATGATCTAGATGTGGTGTGAAACGTCATCTCTGGGCAGACAAAAGAATAACCCTTGCAGTGGGGCTACCCCTGAACTACAAAGGTTAAGTGCTTGTTTATAAGAGGGGAGGGAATGCTAATAACGCTGTTTCAGTTACCTGATTCCTGCCATCTCAGTCCAGGCTGCTAGACTGGTCCCTGCTGTCACTTTTCCGTTTTACTTCTAAGGACCACTGACATCATCACATCTTATGCAGGTCCATTGACCTGCAATAGACGTGAGGACGTGGGCAGACATTCTGCAGCAGGCGCGTAGGGGGAGAGAGGTGAGTGCCAACTGCCATGGGAGCCGGGATCAGGTAAGTAAAACAGCTTTATTTGAGTCCCATAGAGACAAAAGGAGCACTTAACCCTTGCAGTGCAGGGTAGTCCCACTGCAAGAGTAAGTTTTTGTCTTTGCCCAGAAATGGGTTTTTAGAATTAGCAAATAGGAATTAAGAACTCTGTATTGAATAAGGCTGTAAATCTGTTAAACTGGCAAAAGTGGCTGAACAACGGAAAAGACTGATGAGATGTTCTGTCAATTGATAAGCAGCAAAATAATTTTATATAGAACCACATTAGCCCATGTATTTATTCATTACTCTATATAAATGAGTGTTATTGGGTCCCTGGTGCTCCTAGGTCCTACAACAGTTGTACAATCTGCTATGGCTATAGCTGCACCTGAACAAAGAATATATACACTTCCTGGCCACAAAAGCCCACACGCTCTAATATTTCGTTGGACCGCCTTTAGCTTTGATTACGACACACATTCGCTGCGGTATCGTTTCTATAATCTTATGCAAGGTCACAACATTTATTTCCGTCCAGACCTGTACTAATTTTTCATCAAGATCTTGTAGTGATGATGGGAGAGTCAGACCTCTGTGTAAAGTCTTCTCCAGCACATCCCAAAGATTCTCAATGGGGTTAAGGTCTGGACTCTGGTGGCCAATCCATGTGTGACAATGATGTCTCATGCGCCATGAACCACTCTTTCACAATCTGAGCCCGATGAATCCTGGCATTGTCATCTTGGAATATACCTAATGTGCCATCAGGGAAGAAAATATACATTGATAGACAAACCTGGTCATTCAGTATATTCAGGTCGGCAGCTGACCTCATTTGTTGCCAGATGAAACATATTATTCACTGCAGAACTTATCCAATGTAAAGGTGCCCATACACCTTACGATTATCGGACGATAATCGTATGCGATCGACTTTTCGAACGACAATCGTACGTGTGAATAGAGTGCCCGAACCGACATTACTGTACAATCGTACGACTTTTGACGGTCAAGCATGTTTGAAAACTTTGCTAGATCGTACGATTGTCGTAAGGTTGCTGGCGTTTCCGTCCGTCAAAAGTCGTACGATGTACACTGCGCATGCGCGAACGAAAATACGACAAATCAATTACCGCATTTCGTCCAGGTGCTTCTCGTTAATTACGGCTAAATTAATCTTGCGATCATCGGGGCAGGATGGGGCCGTCGTACGAAAATCGGACGACTATTCGATCATCGGACTAAACGTTTGTCCGATAATCGTAAGGTGTATGGGCACCTTGAGGCTCCTACCTGTTTGCTCAACTAAATCCAAGTGGCCAGGCAGTGTATATATCTGATACAATGTATAATTTTCTTCTAATCAAGTTAATTGTACACTTAGGCTACCCTGAGAGAGGATTGTTTTTCCTCTGATCTGACAAAGATTCAATAAAATAAACAAGATACAGATGATGGTATAAATCATGACAACTACAAAATGTAAATGATCTAATAAAGATATAAAGCAGATACCTGTTTTTGGAGAGTTTCGAAATGTTTCCCTTGTTTATCCCCCAAAAAAGTTTTGATTTCATAATCTTCTCTTACACAGCACTTTTCAAACTTTTATTTGAACAACTGACAATATGCACAATGAACTTATATTAAAATGTTAAAAATTAGCAAAAATAATAATTCAAATACTAATTATACATGAATGTACAAATTTATAATATCTTAGAAGGCAAGTTAAAACTGGCGATCAAAACACTGCTATGGCTGTATGGGATGTATTTATTATAAGACCGGCCTACCTTAGCAAAGGTGAATTAATTATGTTAATCGGATGACTGCATGTTAAACTAACCAATAATAAATAAGCGACTACAGTATAAACAAGGATAAAAGAATGTAAGAGGAAAACAAGTACAGGTAATTGAAAGAAAGGTACAAAAGGAAGTAAAACAGAGAACAAAAGTTCATGCAAGTGATTAAGACTAAAGGTGCCCATACACTGCACGATTCTCGTACGAGAATCGCGGGAAATCCCACGATCGTACGAGAATCGTGCAGTGTATGGAAGGCATGCGACCGTTTCTACTGTACGGTCGCACGTCTTCCATTGAACCAGCATGTTTGAAAACCCGCCGGGAATCGTACGATTCTCGGCGAGTTGGTGGCCTGCTGGTTCGACAACTGCCGAACGGGCCGGTGTGCGCACGCGCACACTGCCCGTTTGCAGTCAGCGTAAGCCCGCCCCTCATTACAGTCATCGCAAGCTCGCCCCTCAGGGGGCGTGGCTTGCGATGATCGAGAGTGCGATCTGCCCGTCCAAGATGGGCAGATCGTACGTTTTTTTAATCCCTTTACAACCATCGCAAGACTAAGGTCTTGCGATGGTTGTACAGTGTATGGCCACCTTAAGGATGGGCTCGGGCGTGTTCGCAGCTCCAAGTGCCGAGCCCGCCCGCCAGGAAGCTGACAGCGCGCATTAAGAGGCAAGAGTTGCTGAAAGTGGCTTTTTTGCCCTCCATCTCTCAGGTTTATTGTGTATATGTGCCTCCCCAACCCCTCCCAAATGCACACATCCTCACCACTAGACACTTTGAGCTCTGGTCTTTGTGAAACTGCAAGTTTCAGCCAGCTTTGCCAGCTTAAGACAAGGCACACTGGAAATTATAGTTTCATGAAGGTTGTATAATAAATCAGTTGTCCTTTATAAATGAGACAAATGTCCCCTGGTTACTGGAATTTATTAAAAGTGGGGATGCCCACCTGGCATTAATCCAGCTATGGCTCTATGCCTTCCAGTAATATGGTAGGAGAGCAGCAATGGTTGCAACTTTTATTGGATCCATGGTCTCTGGTGGCCTAGCTGTGAAATTCCCATATCAAAATTACTTGTATGTCATTTAAAATTTCAAAAACTGTTGGAACTTCTTGCATTGCCTCACAGAGAAACACAAGCACACAGTCAGATATGCATGCTGCATATGGCTTGGTAACAGGAAGGAAGCCACAGCTTTATTCTCTACCTTATGCAATACAACAGAGTATATACCATAGATATAACAGAACACTGCCATCTAGTGACCGGAAATGTATACTGCAGTAGTTGAGGCAATAGACACAATGTTGCACTTCAGGTCAGCCGAACATGTTAAGCATGTTTGGCTGATCCGAAGCCACACGAAGCAAGCCGATGTACGGCTGAAATCAGCCGTACCAGCCTGAAGTGAATAGCCGAACAGTGTTCGGCTCACTTCACTTCTGATCGGTCATTCACTCGGCTGCCCTCGGCAGCTTTGTGAATAGACCCCAATGTGTATTCTAACAAAAACAAACACACTCTCAGTGTGAAGACCCTTTCACTCTCATGTCCATGCCGTGTCAGACTTCTAAGTACATGATACTGAGGAGAAGACTTGGGGTTTTATCAGGGTCCAGAATGGTTTGTTATTCGTTACTGAACACGCTTTCCTATTCACATACCAGAAATAGATAAGCTACTTTCTTTTTTTTGAGTGTTCTTGGATTTGGAGTTATCAAGAGTCAAATTCCACATTTATGAGAAGTTTAAACATTGCACAAAGTATACAAACACTAACAACCTTCTGGTCAAATCACCAGTCTTTCAATACTTAATGTACTTGTCTCATCTTCTTCATTCGAAGCAAAATATCCCGGTAAATCAAGCATTTGCTGTTCAGCCTCTGTGAGCCCAAATGTGGAGTTGTCATAGAAAGAATAATCAGTTCCCCAAGGGAAGCTCTGGCACTTTTCTCTTCGGAAATGAGCTGGACTTTGAGGACTTCTCCTGTAATACATATCTTTAGGAGATGGTGAGACATTTTTGGCCTTGTTCCAAGACTTCTCAACTGGTGACGGTCCTTTCCGTAGTCGGTTCTGATCTGGTTGCTCAATTTTAGACTGCCTGCCAGTGGTGTGCCTGCTGCAGATTAAATCAGGTTTCTCTGCTTGTCGAGCATATTGATTTGGGGGCAGATGTCCAGTTGCCTCCAGGGGAAGAGAGATGCCCCGTGTGAGGTTTTCTGGACTTTTTTCCAGTCCTATTGTTTTTTTATTTGACCTGTCTACTGTAGAATACTCCCACATTCGGATTCTTGAGTTGTACATCATTGCTTGTCTTGGAGAAAGGGATGTTAAACTTCTTTCCCTGTAGGGTTTAAGGTGTTTAGTGTCATGAAAACTTGATGTTCTTCGGAAATTATTTTTCTGATAGCCTCTGTCATACTTTGCTTTAGTATCTGTGTTCTTAAGGTGGGATGCTTTGGGCAATGTTTGATTTGGGCTGTATCCAAGTGTCTGTGGAAACTTTGGGTAAGTTCGTTCACCAGCACTTCTGCTTTGGCTATTTTTTGGCTCTAAAAATGGAGACTGTATCCTAAACTTATTTGCTGCCAACTCCTCTGAGTTGTCAGTGACAGGGGGTGGAGCCATAGAGATGTCTAGAGCAGTATCGGCCATTGGGCTCTGAGAGACGTGATACAATTTTGTGGCTTCTTTCAGACCCTTTTGTTTCATCTCTTTTAGCTGCTGCTGAGCAAGGCGATAACTGAAAATGGGTGGAATCATCTTCTGGCTGTTTGCCTGAGCACAATCATTTTCGGTTGTGACCACCTCTTGGCCATCACGGGTGTTTTGTCTGTAATTTAAAGGTATATGGACTCCATCTTCCACCCCTTCTGGCTGACCTTCCGCTGCATCAGAGAAGCTTTCCCTCATTTTGTATATATTCTCCTCATCTGAGTTTTTCCAGCAATTCACTGAATGGGCAGAGCTATGCCTGGTTGTTGGGCGGCACTTGCATCCGTTACCAAATTTCCTCCAGACGGTAATCACTACGGTTACAAAGATGATGGAGAGGCAGAGAGAAATTCCAGTGATAGTCACTGTGTTGCTTGTATTAGGGACATCCTTAGCATTTGTAGTGGATTTGCTTGAGGGCTTCACAGCTATACCAAAAGAAGAGACAACACATAAAATGTAAACACTAAACTGGCATGCCAAATTTGTATTTAAAAAAGAACTAATAATTATAATAAAATCTAAGAACCAATGATCACTTACATGCTTTTTCTAAATAGGGTGGTGCAAAAAGCAATTCTGGTTTTTAGTGAAAGCTTCATATTTGGATCACTGATATATGAGATTCAATGTTAAAGCCCAACTCCAACCTTTTTCTGATAGAGTGGGGAAAGGTAGAACCTTTGTTAGCTTTTTATTGCTGAATGGAGTTCTAGGTTTGCGGCACTATACTAGAACACCATTTAGGCACTTAGTGAGTATATGAGTACTTACTCTGTGATGGCCAACTTAGTGAGGTAGGGCTAGGAGTCTATTAGAGAAGAAGTATAATATTTTATAGGTTTTTATTAGGGATGCACCGATATATCGGCCACCGAAACATATTGGCCGAAAATTGCACTTTTGGGATCATGTCGAAAGTGCAATTTTTTGGCCAATACAGCGGTGCATCCATTCTTTCTCTCCTCCCCGCTGGGCGCTGCTTGGTGTCCCAGCAGGGAGGAGAGAAACACAGACGGCTGAGCGCTACGGGAGGAGAGCGCTGTGAGTGGCCGGTAAGTCTCCTTCCCGCACCGCTCTGCCTCCTGTCACAGACCGGCAGAGCGGTGTCTGGGCGGAGACAGCCAGCGCTGTCACAGGAGGCTGAGCTCAGCTCACTCAGCCTCCTGTGACAGTATGCGGACGCAAACGAGCACATATAGGCGATCGGCGGGCTATGGACCCGCTGATCGCCTATATGTGAAACACCCAGTACGGGGTGTTTGCATTGGATGGGTCTTTTCTGCCCGTGCGTGCCCGCGAGCAGAAAAAAAATGCCGTCTGGCGACGGCAACCCGCCAATGCAGCAGTGCCGTCCGTCCGTTTTTCTACTACGGGCGGACGGCAAGAGGTTAAAGGAGAACTATGAGGTGAGTGATTTTCACTCACCTCATAGTTCTAGCCCACCTGTGACAATGAGACTGTCACAGGTCGGCTCAGTAGATCCGAGTGAGCGAACAGATACCGACGTTCGCTCACCTCTCGATCCTGTCACGGCTCTCTGCCGTGACAGGGGAGGGGCTGGATTCCACCCTCCCTGCTCCGATCCGCCAGCGCTGACTGGCGGAACGGACGGGAGGGGGCGGGTTCAGCTGGCTCTGCCTTTAGATAGGCAGAGCCAGCTGCCAGTCACGCAGCTGGGCGGATCCCGGCACAATTGTCGGGATCCGCTTCAGCTGCGGCGTCTCAGTATACAGCGAGCTACAGCTCACATTATACTGAGCCTAGGGTGACGGGAGGACGCTAGTTTGTGTCCTCTTGTTAACCTAAGGAGAACTACGGGGAAAAGACATAGTTCTCCTTTAAGTATACATGTATGCACTGAATGGTAACTCAATCCCCCCACTTCCAGGCCTCAGTAATGATATCTTCTGCAGGTGTCGATCCAAATGAATGCACACGGAACACTAATTTCTAATACATCCCTGAAAATTTCTATGTGTCAGCTTTTCACCTAAAGGCACAATAAAAAATCAGTGGTTGTGAAAATGAGAACAGACAGATCACTGGGATGGAAAGATACAGAGGTGTGTTATGTATGGAATGTTACAAGGAATTGTAACCCTGTACACTGTGTACAAACTATGTAAAGATTACACACAACACAACTCTTTATATCATAAATATAGCTCATAAGGCAAGAAGGATCTACTTTATTAATTTTGTTTGTTTTTGCTTCTATGTTTGCTAAAACATGTTTAATGGGCACCCCTGGTATAGAGGATAGGTATAGAGGACTTTTTAGAGCGCTCCATAAAAATTTAAAGGAGAGGAATAGTATATGTCAGTCAGCTTATGTTTAGAATTATAGAAAAGTTTATCATCAAAGTAACATTAAAGGCTCTCCCCCCCCCCCCCCACCTTCTTTAGCACTTAATATTTTCA